AAATGTTTCGTTCCTAAAATAGCAATTCCTGCTTTTTGAATACATTAACTTGAAATATTTGACCCTAAACAACACGCGGAAACAATTTTTTTTCGACTGCGAATAAATTATTCTCATTTTATTAAAAAAAAAATCAAGAAATTTTTTAAAACTTCTTTAATTTTAAGGCCCATTAGTATTTTTTAAAGTAGAAACAATACATTTATCAATAAAGTTGTTTGCGTTTAACTTTTTTGCCTTGGGTAACGAGTTACAGAGTTGGTTAAAGTGTTTCAATAATTATGATCTTCAAACATCCTCCACACTTAAATAATTTTTTTTGTTTTCCTTTACTGCCATCTGGCATATTTTTCTAACTAAATCATAAAAATAATATTTTTACTATAATTATCCCAATTTAGGATAAAACGCGACTTAGACGCCATATTATTATAGTTTTGTATTTCTGTGAATTAGGATTTTAAACAACGTTGCAGTTTGTACTAAATTAGGCTGCTAGCCAACGTAGGTATCCAACGTCGTTTCGACCCAAAAATTATTCTCCAAACTAGTGCAGACTAGGGTTGGCACGAGGTTGTGCCGACGTTGCGCCCCGACGTTTGGTCGCGTGACACAACCTTGTCCCGACGTCCAAATGCTGCTTGGGTTATGTTTTTTAATTCGAACATTTAATGGTCTAGATGATATATGCTATTTTTTCCACACTATTTCAAAAGAAACAGGTTGTATTTTTGTATTAAATGAATACAGAATTTATTTATGTTTTGAAATTCAACCAGGTCATCTTTAATGACAAGCGTTTATTAAAATACGTTAACGTTTTTTATTAATCAAAAGTTAAATTTTTAACTTTATTTTCAAAAAATTTGGAAGTTATGCGATAAACACCGACACTGAATGCTTATTTTTCAAAACTTGCAAAAGATTTTCCTCAAAACTTTAAGAATTAATTTTTACAACTCCTTAATGACTTTAGTGTTAAACGTAGCCTTATTTTTATCGTATATTAAACTCATTTAAGAGGATCTTATTTATGGTAAATATGTAGTGATAGTTTGCAAACTTCAATTATTAAAACTGAATTCGTTAGAAAAATAGAAACTGAAAATAAAAGTATAAAAATTCAAAACGATATATCATAAAAATTGATTAGGTCATTATAATCCAATACGTTTGATATTGACTTATCTCATGATATTTAGAGTACGAAATTTATAACAATAAGAAAATCTTCCATTTAATACCAATTTTATGGATAAAAGCTCATATATCTTTGATGTTTTGAAAGTCAATAAATGTTTAGAAGCTTTCAATTTGATAACTCGGGTTTGTGGGCCATTTTAAATAATACAGTATTCGTATGATGAGACAAAGGCAGCCAAAACCATTGGAATAATTCACAATACTTTTCTGGTACTTTTTTAACAAAAAAGGGGGGCAATTTAGCTATATCTAGTCTCTTTTAATGGTTCAATTGTTGCTTATTTTGAAGGTAAGTTTAACATTTTCTCTTTATTACCTTAAAGAATGTTTTTTAGTAAAAATATTGGCGCTTTAATCTAATAAATTCATTAAAACACATTTAATAATTTAATATTTGTTGACATATCTAGTGGGTAAAAATCCAGGGAAACAAAATGGCCAAATCTATTTAATTAATTATTTCTTTCTTACTGCTACCACAGCTTATTTAGAACCAGCTGGTCATCTTTTCTTGTTTTTAAGTATATACGTTTCACTTGCTGTATAGTCAGAGTATCCAGACTCATTATATTTTTATACAAAGTATAGATGAAACTCAGAACCTGACTATAATATAACATATGCAAATATCTAGATTGGTTTAAATAATTTTAACCTCTTTATTAGCACAACGTTTTTGGATACTGATGAATCAGTTATTGATAATTTGTATGCGAATAAATATTAATATTTCTTTGAATGAAAAACATTTAGCAGACTTTGAAGTAGCGGTACAATATAACCATATTATATATTTGCTGATTATTAGGAATAAGATTAGCCACTGAAATATGTATGAATACATTGGGCAAAAAAATCTGGAACAAACAATCAAATGGCCATACTTCAGAATTATAAATGGCCCAGAGAAGAATACCATGGACACAGCATAAAATTAGCATATGAATTTTATAAAAACTAAACATTAATTTATTATCATTATCAAGATCAGTCATATTTTAGGTATTTTGGACATATTTCAAGAACAAACAATCTAGACAACAAGTTATGGAGGAAACTATTGAAAAAAGACCCGAATATTTGGGTTGACCAAATGAAGACCATTAACGATCACGGAGTACACCAAATCATTGAGGCAACAATGGACAAAGAAATTTTATTAAGGCCATAATGGAATTGGTATATTAGAATAGGTCTACACAGAAGAGAGGTAGGTCTACTAATAATTAAAAATTATTAGTAAAATGTACATCTAGATTAATTTTTGATAAAATATATAATACCGTATGATCGAAAAAAAAAACGTCGTCTAGTTGGCTTGGTGACTATCCATGATATTTCCCATATAATTTTACATATAAAATGGCGGCGATCTTCATTTCATAGCCATATTTTCCATCATACGGTTTTACACTTTGGTATTTTTATTTCAATGTTGTAACGCCGAAGATTAAACATCAATTTTATTAAACATCAGCAGTTAGATGATTAAAATTAAGGTACTTTTAGTTTTAATCATCTGCTGATGATGCTAACATGGTTAGCGCAACGCGCGTCCTGTGTTAAAAGTAAACTGTTATGGTGTATTGTTGTGAATTAAAATATACAATAATAAATAACAATTCTATAACTCATAACTGCAACAAAAGGCATTTAAGAGCATTCGCCATTGGGTTTTGTTTTTAGTCGCCTGTTCTATCTGGTTCCACGTCTCCTCAAGCTTTCTTGTTTGGTATAAAATAGTCCTTTTTTATGTTATTGAAGGACGGCCTGCACGTCTAGGACCTTGTGGATAGTTATGTTATTGATATATATGTTATTGATAAAATGAGTTTTGAAAGTATATCTAATATGTTAAATAAAAATGTGATCATTTGTGTTATCTAGCTAGGTATTCCTTTTTACATATTCTTCTCTTCGGGTTCCATCTCCTAATGGAGGTTGGAAATCATCATGGCAATTCTAACTTTGTTAACGGCTGCTCTGAATAACTGGTTTGAAGTCATTCCAAACCATTCTCTCAAATTCTTGAGTCATGATGTTCTTCTTCTTCCTTGGCTCCTTCTGCCCTTTATCTTTCCTTCTATTATGTTCTGCAGCAGGGCATATTTAGGTCCTCTCATTATGTGTCCAAAGTACTCAAGTTTTCTCTTTTTAAGGGTGTTAATCACCTCTTCGTCCTTCTGAATTCTGCGTCGCAGTTCTACATTTGTAACCTTGTCAGTCCATGCAATCCTCAGCATACGCCGATAACACCATCTTTCGAATGCCTCAAGCTTCATCATTTCGGCCTTTTTAAGTGTCCAAGCCTCTAAACCATAGAGTAGAGTTGCAAATATGTAACCCCTTAGCATTCTTAATCTAAGCTTTAAGTTGATGTCTCCACTGCAGAGACATTTTTTGAGTTTTACAAAGGCTGCTCTGGCTATTTCTTCTATTCGAGCTTTTATTTCTGCTGATTGATACAACTTTTCGGTCAACCAACTGCCTAGAGATTTATATTTTTGTACTCTCTCCATAGGTGTATCATCTATTCGAACATTGGCTTGGACATCTTCTCTCTTGGTGATGATCATAAATTTAGTTTTCTTAGGGTTCATTTTCAGGCCATAGACTCTACACGTGTTGTTTAGTCTTTGTAGAAGTGTTTGCAGACCCTCCACGTTGTCTGCTATAAGGACGGTATCGTCCGCGAACCGCATATTATTTAAGACCTGCCCATTAATAGTGATGCCCTCCTTTCTACTAGTCAAAGCCTCCCGAAAAATTGATTCGCTGTATATATTAAACAATAGCGGAGAAAGTATACATCCTTGACGAGCGCCGCTCAGAATCTTTACTTCATCAAAAAGTTGGTCGTCCACTATAACCTTCGCTGTTTGCCCCCAATAAAGATTTGCTATTATCCTGATATCTCGGCTATCGATATTCATGCCTTTAAGTATTTCAATTAGTCTATGATGTTGAACTTTATCGAAAGCCTTCTCATAATCTATAAAACACACATACAGGTCCTGATTCATATTAATACACCTCTGTGCTAACACATTTATGCTAAACAGAGCCTCTCTCGTTATGCCTCTTCTAAACCCTACTTGGATATCACTGATTTCTGAGTCCACCTTAGCAAAAATTCTATTATAAATAATTCTCAAAAACACTTTCAGTGTGTGACTCATCAGGGCAATTGTTCGATGGTCGGAACATTCTTTGGCATTGGGTTTCTTGGGCAACTGTAGAAAACTAGACATTAACCAATCCTTTGGTATAATGCCCGTAGTGTATATAACATTAAAAAGTAACATATGTATATATGGTTACATATTTGGTTATATATGGTTACATATTCTGGAGTTTTATAAAACCGCTTAAGAGCAATATTTTTTAAAGTAACACCTTTTAATTTGAGTATTATTGTGTACTGAGTAATACTGTTAGAATTTATAATCATTTTCTAATATAACAAAACTAAAGTATATTAGTTAGATATATTTCTTATTAAATGCAATTTTTCAAATATTTGAAAATTTAAGTAAACAAACAATTATACTTTCCAAAAGACACTTTTTAAAAATCTATTGATCTTGAAGTTCAATTAGGTAATATTTTGAAAGCGAATAAACCTTTTCATGCCTTGAACTTGATATTACGGGTTCAGTGCCTAGGAAATTCGAAATAATAACCGCGTCCGTACGATGATAGTAAATAATAAAGCGCGAGCTAGTAGGCCGTGGACGCGCAAGCCTTCTGTGCCGAGCGAGAATCGCGACCCTCAGTCAGAATCGGCCTGTCATCAAACTAAGGTCTTGGCGCGCTCACGGACGCCGACTCTCACCACGCCGACGCGATCCCCAATTTCGGTTCCCCTTCGCTCCCAGAGCAACAGATATTTATCCACGTGTTCGTCCCGATATGCTCCCCTAAACATCGGCGCGCAAAATGGAGCTATTTCTCGCGATTTATTTGATCGGTGCCGCGTCGTCGGTGTTCGGGTACTCTTGGCCTAGCGAGGAAACCACCACCAGATCCCACAAAGATATCCATAGCGACCCTTTGGTGGTCGAAACGACCAGCGGAATGGTACGAGGTTACTCCAAAACCGTCTTAGGTCGAGAGGTTCACGTTTTTACAGGAATTCCATTTGCCAAACCGCCCATAGAGCAGCTTAGATTTCGTAGACCCGTTCCAGTTGATCCGTGGCACGGTGTATTGAACGCCACCAAGTTACCTGACTCTTGTTTCCAGGAACGATACGAATACTTTCCTGGATTTGAAGGTGAAGAAATGTGGAACCCTAACACAAACATATCAGAAGATTGCCTCTACCTCAATATCTGGGTTCCACAACGCTTACGCATCAGACATCATTCAGACAAACCTCCTATTGAGCGACCAAAAGTACCGGTTTTAATTTGGATATACGGCGGAGGCTACATGAGTGGCACCGCAACTTTAGACATCTATGACGCCGACATAATAGCTTCAACAAGCGACGTAATCGTGGCTTCCATGCAATATCGCGTAGGATCATTTGGTTTCCTTTACCTAAACAAATATTTCGCCAAAGGCAGTGAAGAAGCACCAGGAAACATGGGTTTATGGGATCAAGCCCTGGCAATACGTTGGATCAAAGAAAATGCCGCAGCTTTTGGAGGTGATCCAGAACTTATAACATTATTCGGCGAATCAGCAGGCGGAGGTTCAGTAAGCATTCACCTACTAAGCCCCATAACCAAAGGTTTAGCAAAAAGAGGTATCTTGCAATCGGGAACAATGAACGCGCCATGGAGTTATATGTCTGGAGAAAGGGCAGAACAAATTGGAAGAGTCTTGGTAACTGACTGTGGATGTAACGTATCCTTACTAGAAACAAATCCACATGAGGTTTTGGATTGTATGAGAGCTGTTGATGCGAAAACGATCTCTCTTCAACAATGGAATTCGTATTCGGGTATATTGGGTTTTCCATCGACTCCTACCATTGACGGGGTATTTCTACCTAAACATCCTATGGATATGTTAGCTGAAGGTGACTATGAAGATATGGAAGTTTTATTGGGAAGCAATCAAGATGAGGGTAAGTTAATTGATAGTTATAATGATTTTGTTGGAGATATCTTTCATTTATTGGATAAACAAGATGGTTGGTAGATAATATGATTAAATTTGTTTCACTAAATTATATTTGAAATATATTCAAGGGTTTGATGAAATGTAATTTAATTATTAAAGTTGAGGAAGGGTACTTGTTTTAATTATTATCAAATATATCATTTTTTTTATTAAGGTTTACATTATTGTGACATGTTTCTATACACTAAAACATTAGTGTATATTTCCATAAATGTAATTTTTAAAGGAAAATATAACATTATCATTTCAAAATAGAGACTATAGAAACAATGACTACATTATATAATCATAATATACATTTTCAAAGGATGGTGACAAGAAAATAATCCAGTTTACTTTTCCGTTTCTAGTAGTTAGTATAAAAATGGAATATAGTGGCGCATTTTCTAGATAATTTGGCACAGTAACCGTTCTGTGGGTACTATAAAAGTATAATAGTTATTTCATAAAGGACATAATATGGTGTTTGAATATTTTCAGGAAACTATTTGTTGGAATTAAGATTAATCACTAGGGTTTCTTAAAACTTGCTTTTCTATGAACAATAAAATTGATTTATACTATTTTTATATATACTTTATATTCTTTCTGTCATATACAGGGTGTCCCACTTAAGATGGATACAAGCCAATATCTTGGTTGTTTGTTGAGCGATCTTTTTCATTTTTGGCAGGAGGCTGTATGACTATAAGACGTACATTTTGCCCATGGTAAGAATATGCGATACCTCATAGACATACGTTTTAATGGGGTTTGATATAAAAAAACAATTTTAACTAAAAAGAGTTTTTTAGTATACAAGTACACAAAATAAATTGAAAATATTTAGATTTTTTGTATCGTATCTTAATTATTATGGAAGCTATCTAAAAACTTAAATCGATTATTAATTAATAATTGGTTATAATTGATTATTGATAATAAACCAGTTGTTTATCCAGTGGCGTCGTAAGTACTTAAAAAATAATAATAAAAATAAAAATGTCTTATTTTAATAACACACCCTGTATCAATATTTATAAAAATTAGAACTTAAGTATCTTAGGTAAGGAGGATTCAATATAATTTATCAGATTTGAAATAAATACTGTCCTAAGGGTAGTTTACTCTTGACTCGAAAAATATCAAACCCCATTAAAACGTACGTCTATGAGGTATCGCATTTCTTACGCTGGGCAAAATGTACGTCTTATAGCCATACAGCCTCCTGCCAAAAGTGAAAAAGATCGCTTAAAAAACAACCAATATATTGGCTTGTATCCATCTTAAGTGGGACACCCTGTATGTATATAGGAAGAGTATAGGAGGTATAGGTAAAAAACTAGGAGGTTTTGACCACAAATGGTCGAAAAATCAGTTTTCGACCAATTCACAAATTTTTTCTTGAAATAAAGAAGAAACTTAGGCCATTGTCTACGAAAAAGGTTCTGACGCTTTTTTTCTTAAAGTCCCGGAAAATGCTTAAAAACGACTCTGAATGGCCAAAGAACGGGTTTACCGTCAATATTGACCGAAATATGGCATGTAGATGACTTTTATGATCAAATGGAAAGTTGTTCGTAAAAAGAATTCGAATATTCGTAATAATTATGCATTTTTTTTTTGGTTTACGACACTTTCCGGTAATCCCAAAAATGACAAATATGACAAATTTCTGTACACTAATACCACGAACCAAGCCAAAAATACCAACTAATACCACGATTAATACCAAATAATGCCAACATCTTGTACACCGTTAATCACTACAAAAGTGATTAAACAAAAACTTCAAACTTTGTGAGTTGCTCATAGAGAATCTCAGAACAACAACAAAAAATCTTGACAAATAAGTTATTATTACGAAAATCTGAATAAGTTTGTAAAAATATGAAAATTTTTGGGTTAAGGAATGTTTGCCCGGTTTTTTTATTATCATAAAATATGACAAAATTCAAACAAGTTCCATTAAAGCCATTTGTTAATAATTCAGAATATATTTATAATAAAAACTGGCAACCTTGAAGCAGATGTCACATTGTTAGTAGCAACTTAATTTAAGAAAGCTTTAAAAAGTGTTTATTATTCTTCGTTTTAATATTTAGGTATGAATAATATTAAGTAATAAAAAAGTCATACCTATGTGGCAGATTCAGCTCTCCAAAAAAATCCTATATTATGGGTATTTCGCCATTGCAAGAAAATCTACAAAACAAAATAGTTATTTTTTGTACATTGCTGCGTTAATCCAAACGGAAACTACTTGTCAGCAGTTAGCCTGCTGTTAGTTAGCTGCTTGCTGACAAGAAACTACTTGTCAGCAGCAACTGATAAACAAATTTGCTTAACGAACAAAAAAAATGCTTAACGTTTCGGAAAGTTTATCTCTTTCCGTCGTCGGAAGCAAAAAATACAAAGAATAAAGAAAAAACTATTTAACTGCAACTATTCGAGAACACTTTATTTTTTTTTTTGAAACGATACGTCTACAAAAACCGTTGATGTTCTGTTAAAATGACATTACCTATATCCAGGGGCGCATATACGGGAGGGGTAACGGGGGTAATTACCCCTCCCAGAAAGAAATTAATTTATTTTAATTATTACTTTCGAAAATCGACAACTATGAAACTATGAACCCTTCCCGGACACAAACGGTACATTGTGAGACAGGAAATTGTAGAGAGAAACGAGCCCTATAACATAGGATACAACGTTTTAATGAACAGTGCTTTCCATAAAATCAATAAAATGAAAAATATACGAAATAATATACATGTACTGATTTCTTTCGAAAATCGACAACTATGAAACTATGAAACCTTCCCCGACACAAACGGTACATTGTGAAACAGGAAATTGTAGAGAGAAACAAGCCCTATACAATTACCCCTCCCAGAAAGAAATTAATTTTTAAGATAAAATTTGGTATAAAATAAAATTGTTAAAAAAAGTTAATAATACAAATTAAAACAGAATATCCAAACCAATCCAAGTAGATTTTTTCCACAGTTACAATACTTTCCAGCAAAAATTTAATTCAAATTTAGTAATTTTTTGAATATTCACACTATCCCTCCCAGACTCAATCTCTAGATGCGCCGCTGCCTATATCAAGTTAAACTTTAAGATTAACAATTACTACCTGGTAACAATTATTTAATAAGGTAAAACCAAAAAGCCTCAAACTTTCTGTATGATTATTTTCAAATTTGTTTTTAATTTTTACATGTGTTATGTTTATTTATGGTATGTTCTTTAAAATCAGAGAAGCAATTATTGCCATACATTACTAACATCTACAGATGCATGAGCAATACATTTATTTTTATTAGATTGTATTAAAAAATCCTCTTTTATTTTTCTTTTAAAAGCTATCGCTTCTTTCATTAAGTGATGTGTATAATATCTTATTTTGTCATTTAACCAGATGCATGTAGGTATATTTAACAAACCTTAATAGCTTTCAAAATTTCAACTTTTTTTATTGATAGTATGCTTACTAGGGATAATAAAATAGGCGGATCGCCTGATGAAAAACCAAATTTATTGTCATAATCCTATAGTTACGTTTGAATTTCCTGTGACCTTTTTGATAGAACGCCGAAGAAATATTCCGCTTCACATAAATTCCGACTCTATTAAGTCGGATAATAAAAGCCATGTACAAAAAGTTAAATACTACTGCGTTGCGTGACTACTCCGACGGCTGATGTTTGATTTGCAAAAACAGAAAAGCGGATGTTACACGGCGAAACTTAATTTTTGTGGTTTATAGGGAATATGGCGGTACCAGCGAGATATCTTTGGTCGATCTGATTAGTGTCATGGTCATTAAAGTCCCCCTTTCGTAATTTAAATGTTTCGGTTCCCTACCATTTTTGTGTCTAATGAAATGTCGTTTTTAAAATAATACAATGCTAGAACAAAAAATACGTTTTTATACAGGGTTATATTGGGGCAAAGTTGCGTCTTGAGATGTTCACCAAGATGCCATCAAAAAAGTTTTAAAAATTTCAAGGATTGCTTAAGTATTTGGAAAAAAACTGATTTTTTTTGAAAATCAATTTTAATTTTTCCTGTAGTTACTTTTTAGAAAATCAAAAAACTAATTGCACATTCTCAAGTATACAGTGTGGCATATCATTGTACTCAGGAGAACGAGTTCTTTCAAAAACTGAAATAAAAAATGCAGATCCGTATTTAAAAAAATTAAGTTGGTCTCTGTATCTCACAAATTATCAGCTAATTTGAAAATCTAAAAATACTATCAGATAGCCCTAATAAAGTGGCTATGAGAAAATAAAATTAATTTTCCAAAAATCAGTTTTTTCCAAAAAAACTCAGCAATCCTTGAAATTTTCAAAACTTTTTTGATGGCATCTCTTTTTGAACATCCCAAGGCGCAACTTTGCCACAATTTAACCATCTTCGTATCTAGTACCTTGAATTTGTAGCACCCTGTATAGGCACTTGAAGAACTATATTGTCTGTACCTTTATAGGGGGTTTATTTCTTGAAAAAAAGGCTCTGTCTCTGATTAGTGTCATGGTCGTTAAAGGTCCCCTTTCCTAATGTAAATGTTTTGGTTCCCTACCATTTTTGTGTCTATTGAAATGTCGCTTTCAAAATGAATGATACAGCGCTAGAACAAAAAATTGGCGCCGGGAGGCACGTATAGCCGCCCATACTTGATATTTTTTTATCTCAAAAACTGCGATTTTGACTGATTTTGATGTTATTACAAATTTTGTTGCAAATATTATTCCTAATCATAAATTGAAAACCGCATTTCGCTAGCTACTGTAATTTTGGAGTTACGATTTTTTTAAATTTTTAACCTTCTCCCATACCCCCTTACCAATCCCCCACCACCACCAAAAACTAATAGCCAGATTCTCGGGCGCCACAGTATTTTTGTGCCAAATTTGGTTAAAATCGGTTTAGCGGTTTTTGAGTTATCGA